ATTGGTCCACTATATTATTTATTACTATTCGTATATTTGAGGGATATAAATATCAATGAAACACCCCTTGAACAATTAGTCACGAAGTAGAGCCAGACCATATCAGGTCCCTGTTTGAGTTACGTTCTCATTTTTATTCAATAACTTTTCCTTCTACTTATTTTCAATCAAACATTATTCAATAAAATAATATTTTTAATTACATCAATAATTTTTTCTTCTTTTTCAACTAAATATTTATCATCACATTATAAAAAAACACATTCTTTCCATTTTTATATATATCAAATACACTCCAGAAATCATCAAAATTAGCAAAAAATTGTCACGCTCTTGTACTTTATGAACTTTGTAGTCAAATCATCGGATGCCAAAAACTTAAATTGTGTCTGGTATTGAAGTTCCTTTAGTTTTTAACTTTTCAAGGGCTCATTCTCCCATTAAGAAACCTGCCCCGAGGACGTCCTCTTCTTAGTGGACAAATATATAGAACTATTGTTATATCCATCATGCTACATTTATATTTTTGTTGACACTGAATTTGACATTATTGTGAAGTGATAGTTTTTTACACTTTGATTGTAATAATACTTTAGACAATCAACGGCACAGATGTTGACAACGCATGAAGTGTCAAAATTAATGTGCCTCAAATGTATACAACTAATTTAATCTTTTTTAATACCGAAAGGCGAAGATACTAGAAGTCTAATTTGGTCATTATTTGAGAATGAGTAATGATATTCATTATTATTGGTGTCAGTGCCAATCTAGACGGCAATTGAATGACATTAAACAATAGATTTACTTAAATACTAATTCACATGATTTATTTAGTTGGACATATGAAATGTATTCATCTAAACTGATATTCTAACACTGTAAGAGTCATGCGGGAAGAAAACATGGTCATCCTTGAGTTCACCATAATTCATAAATCTTATGGGAAAGTTTTATTTGTGATCATTGAACTTTCGACAAAAATTTAATGGGATCATCAAAATTTAATTTGTCTCAATTGAGTCTTTGAGCTTCAACTTCGTTTCGATAGGGAATTTCAGTGGAGAGTCAGACTTCAACATATCTTCTACGTAATGGATAAGTTGCATGCCAACTTACTAATAAGCCATATCATAATAATGTGAAAATAGTGTGGTCCCCATTTCTCCCAAAATTCATTTTCAATCACACATTTTCTCATAAAATAATTTTACACATAAATCGAAAACTCTCTTATTTTTTAATCATATACTCTTTGAAAAAATCATTATTCCAAAATACATTTCCCCGGGGCACAAACAAAGACTTAATCTAAAGGCATTTCTATAACCCTCATTTTATTGTTTTTTGCTTTTATAGTGCCACGTAACAATGGAAAATGCCACTCATACATCCTTTCATTGACATGATTGTTGATATTGTCAATGTCGACAACTGTTGATTAAGTGAAAAAACTGTGTAAAATTTAAATTGTCTAATGATGTATTGATACGTTATAAAGTGTAAAAAAATGTAAATGATAATGTAGATGTAGCATAACGGCATAGCAATTACGTCGATGATCAATTATGATATGGTGGTCAATAAGCAATTTCCAAGTTCCAACTTCAAAAAAGAAAAAAAAAAAATCCTAAGATTTTCTTGCTTGACTTTGGTCCACCACTCCTTGGTACAAGAGCCATAGTCACGTGTAAAAGAAGTTGGTTGTCTAGCATCAATCTTTTTCATAATCTTGTTTCATCCAAATCCACATCTTGAAATCAACAAGAAAGCAAAAGAACAAAACTAAACCAGCCAGATTTCTACATAAACTACTCACCATGAAGGAGAAGTAGAAGGAGATCCTAAAGAAGATGTTGAAATACATTCATTGTTACTATTCGAATCACTACCAGTAGTGCATAGAGAACGAGCATCTCTCAAAGAAACTGAACATCCTTCACCTGGAAGTTTCTTCATTGGTGTTAATGGAGGCGTTTCATCATCATCTTCTTCTTCATCTTCCCCACAAGACTCAATTCCTTCGTCTAGCCGTGAAGGCGACGTATCAGGCGTTACAAATGGCGTATCCACCTTGCTGTTATTATAAATTGGATTGGATATGTATATAAACTGCTCTTCATGTTGAAGTTTCTGTGAAGAATATAGATGGCCAACTACTTGAGCATGAGTAGGTACTTGAACTTCTGCTTGTATTTCTTGTGAATTTTGCTTCTCTAAATCCACGTTAGAATTTGGAGGGAACAGCATACTACTTGGAACTTGAAGAACCCCTTGTGAATAAAAGCCACTGAGAGACGATTGCGCAGCAGCTACGCCATTCTGTTGGGGAGTCGAGTGATCGTTTGTTGGGGAAAATCGTGATTTGTGTGTAGAAAACGAGTTCTTGCGGAAGTGTCTACGCAAGAAGAGAGAACAGTAAAGCTCGGCCAGAAGTATCAAAACTAGACCCAACACTAGCGCAATGCCAACCGCCATTACAATTGTTGCAGCCATAACTATTTTGGAAGTGTTCTTCATATCTCTTAAGAGTAGTTAAGGGCGTGAGTGAAGAATATGGAGAATCTATCGTTAAAAAAAAAAAAGAAGTGGATAATTTTGGCGGGAAAAGAGGATTGGTTTGTACTGGTGTTGGCTTGTGAACTGTGTGGTGGGACAAGGGAGGTAGATTTTATTGGATGTAAGGGGGAATCTTGAAAAGGGAATTGGGAAATGAGAAGTATGATGATTTTGAGGAAGTAGGGCTTGTGCCAAATTATGCTGATTTTGTGAAAGGATTGATAGCAATAAATCATGGTCTTGTTTTGAAGTCGACAACAATCAATACTATAAAGTTCCTATTTGGTTTAGACGAAAATCAAATTTTTAATAAATTTTAATAAAAATCGATGAAATATATTATTGGAAAATTGTAGATTTCATGAAATATACGGTTAAAATTAATTGTTGATTTTAACTTAAATTTTAATCTAAATTTTTAGCTTAACCAAAGAAGGGCAAAAGGCTTAGAAATTATAAAAAGTGTCAAAAAAAATATAAATCTAATATCAATAAAATGAATAAATAAAAATAAAATTGTTATTAATGTTCAATTTTGACGTCCCATTTAGATAAAAGAATAATGTTGTGTAGCATCACTAACGTTATAATATCAATCTAGGTGATTATAAGCCATAAAACCTCTTAAATGTAACTAATTTTTGTACTTCTAAAGCGTTTGATGTTCGAAGTTTTTAAGAAGCTTGCTACACTGACGTGGATGTTGAAACCCAAATCATAGTTGGTGCACCTAATTCTGACCAATGTGGGGACAATACATCCAGCTCAAAGTGGATTGTTTAAAAAAAGGTTGAATCCCAATCTTGAGGGCCTCCCACTGTCCCGTCCCTTGAACATTGTGGAGGAGGTAAATTACGAAATGTGTATCAACAGATCAGGGTACAAGAATTGTCATATTGGTGCCCACAAAAAGTTCAATTTCATACCTTGTAAGAAGTAGGAATCAAACTCTCACATTGCGACTGTCAGCTCAATTGAGATTACCCAATTTCTATCTTTTGCACCATCGAACTATGCTCAGGGGGCTCAAAGTGGATTGTTCAACGTAGCTCAAATGGGTTTCTATTTTTTGATTTTTCATTTTGGTCCCTGAACTTAACTTTCAGCCCATTTGCAATTAAGTCCCCAGACATTTTATAACTTCTAACCGAAGATCAATTTAGTCCTAATGTAATTTATCGTGTCCTAATTATTTTCCAACCATTTAAATGAATTTTCTAGACAGTCATAATGACGTGGGAGCCAAGCTCAAATTGTTTGGAACCTTCCAGATTCAAATAAATACGAAATTGTCCGAACTTTCTCGATTCCTTTTCCACTATATATGCAACCACCATCATCTTCATTGTCATCATCGTCGCGACATTTCAGCTTCATTTCTTTACAATTTCGCAATTATCAGTTCTATAAAATCTTCTCACAACTGAGGAATATGCCGAACAGAAATCCAGGGGCCGTGGCGCAGGACTGGGAACCGGTAGTTCTCCACAAGGCCCGGCCCAAAGCGCAGGACCTTCGCGACCCCAAGGCCGTGAACCAGGCTCTACGAACCGGAGGTCAGGTCCAAACAATCAAAAAATTCGACGCCGGGTCGAACAAGAAGCATGTGGCGACGGACCTGAACGCGAGGAAGCTGGATGAAGCAGCCGAGCCGGCGGCTCTGGAGCGAGTCTCAGTAGAGGTAAGGCAGGCAATACAGAAGGCTCGGATCGCAAAGAAGATGAGCCAAGCCGAGCTGGCTAAGCAGATCAATGAGCGGCCACAGGTGGTTCAAGAGTATGAGAATGGGAAGGCTGTGCCGAGCCAAGCTGTGCTGGCGAAAATGGAGAGAGTCTTGGGTGTGAAGCTGAGAGGGAAAGTTGTACATAAATGATGATTATAATTGAATGTTGAAATTCCCTTGTCTGTGTGTTGATTCAGAATAAGATTTGTGTTGTAGTGAAATTAAAAGGGGGAAAAAGCACAGAAAAATGTGATGATCGAATGGTCTGGAAGTGAAATTTACTGGTTGTTATGTATATGATAATTTGATCTGTTTAGTTATTTCTCTCCCTCATATGTCACTCTATCTCTCTCTCATTGTTTTCGCATTTGCCTATCTTTGTTTCATTTTTGGTTAAATCAAATTCATTTATTGAAAGTGAGATTTTTTTTAAAAAATAAAGAAAAATATTCACCATTTGAATAAGAAATATTGACATCGTGTAATCTGGTAAGAATAATATTGGACAATGCTAGTGGAACATCAAACTTTTCATCGGGGGTTACACCCCCTCCCTACATGGGGGTGGGGTCCACTTGAATAAAAAAATATTATTTCAGTGGATCTCACCCCCCATGTGAGGAGGGTGTAACCCTTGATGTACATCACTTGATGTACAAGTGGCATAACTCAATAATATTATGGGCTGTGCTATGGGTACTCGGCGCCCCTCCGTTATGGACACCCCTATGCGCTACTTACGCACTCATAGTATTTTCTTAATATTATTCATTTATATTAGTGCAATGAAGAAATATCAACAAATTATTGTTAATACAATCATAAACAATGTGGTATTGACATAACTAATAGGGGGCTCATTAGGACATCGAGTGTCCATTATAGACCCCACTGTGGGTACACTTATGTATTCATAACATTTTCCTAATATTATTCATTTATATTGGTGCAATGACTAATACAATTATAAACAGTGTGGTATTGACATAACTTTTATATAGATTAGTGCTATCGTTGAATAACATTACTCAATGTTTTTGGTAACCGATGAGTAATTTATTAAGCATACAATCGTATTTTTGAATGTTGAATATTAGCCAAATATCTTTCTTGTCTTTTTTCATCAATTAAGAGTTCGTTTGGTGCACATTAAAATGAGAGAATGTTTTTTTTGAAGTGATGTGATAGAGAATATGTGATTGAAAAAGAAGGAAATGTTATTGATGTGATGGAAAATATTATTTTATTAAAGAATGTGTAGTTGAAAATGAGTGGAAGAATGAGAATGAAAAAAATAATCTAGCTCAAACAGGGGCTAAATCAGCCACGACCCACTACCCTAATTGAAACTATGAATATGCAATCAAATTAAACGATAAAAGAATAGAATTGACATCACCATGAAGAATATTGACTTTTATTTTTATGAAGTCCCTTTGTTCTCAGCTTCTTCGCCTGCATTGTTGGTTACAAATATTTTGTATCTATCGTGAATTTTACATACTATTATAGCCGAAATTTGAAAGGATTTTGCACAAGAAAAGAGAGAATTTTGAAAAATAATACAACCAAGTATTTTTTGCATACCTTTGTTGTCAGCAGTGGTGATCAACGGAGTGGCAGTGTGGCAACATCGGGTGAGTTAGGGTTTGATTGTTTGATTTTGTAAGGAATTAATTCTTGAAGAAGTAGAATTAGACAACCTTAGAAAATCAGAAAATCTGTTGCAAATGGAGCCTTCTGTTTTACCGTTTTCTGTTGTGTTAGTTGGAATCTTTCAACCAATTGGAGCATTAGTTGTTAGGTGGTAGTTAATAACTGAACTGATTCTTGTTTTGTGTCTATAAATAGCCTGGTTAGATGATAGAAAAATAGTCTCTCGAGAGTGAAAAAGGAGAAGAGAAAGTGAGATAGATTAGAGGGATGAACTCTTGTAAATCTGGTATTAAATCTTTCTGATGATTTCTAGTTTTGTAATCATGTTCGTCTTGGATTAATAAAGGCTGAGGAAGACGTTTTCTTCCTGTTCAATTGATTCCTACTTCAGCTGGTTATAATTCTGCTGTTTTCCTTCTGTTCTTCCTGCTATTTTTCATAGATCTCTGATTACTGGAGTTCTTGATCAGTTCCAAAGTTAAGGTAGCCTTCAAAAACCCAACAGATTTTACACTGGGATTCATACCGTATTAATTAGGGTGTGTTTGATGAATATTATTGAGGAAATAATGTATTTTAAATAGTAATATGATGAGAAATATGTGGTTAAACAGTAATGAAAAGTTATTGATGTGATGGAAAATATTATTTTATTAAAAAATATGTTGTTGAAAATAAGTTTTGAAAGAAAATATTTTAAAGAATGTGTACCAAACAGGAGCTTAATATATAATGAAAAAATTTAAGAGAGCCCACTCCCTTGTACTCACCACGGATTTCAACATGCTTATACAGTCATACTTTATCCGTTCGCTCCATGAGAATGCTCCAACATTGACTCAAAAAGGGACAAAACTATCAACCTTGATATCAAAGTATTTCAATCACTTTGTCCATAAGTCACATATCAGGGCACAAATACAATCCACCCAATACCAATATCATCATAATCAAGTCGGGAAACAACCCTAAACCCATTGCCTTGAACCCAACCCGTTTCAGGTATGCCCTTACAACAACAATCTGATAGCAGCCCCAATAGAGCACAAGTAGACACATCCACTGAAGTACTCATCATTTACTAAAAGGGATGTACAGAAACCCACAGCCAAATGGTCTAACAGTACAATAATAAATACACTACTCCTGAGCATCAAAATTAGTCATGCCTGTATCTTATAGTCCCAGTGTTGTCCACTGTCAAAATATACAATCATCCGAGAAGATCTTTAGTATCCAAGTGAACAATTCCATCCAGATTCACAGTGAATATAATGAAAAACCTTCTTTGCGTAAATTAAAATCTAAGATTTGTTATGAAAGTAACATTGGAACAACAAGAAAACATAAATTATAGTCTGTAATAATATTACATTGTCCTCAAGAAATCATTACTAAAACAGTAGGATGAAGGAACTTGGATAGTTTTCCTTATACGAGCAACATTTAGAACAGAAAACTATAGAATCGACTGATATATTACAGGATATTCTTTGAACTAGATTTTTGCATGTATCGTCAGCATGTTCTGCCTTCACAAGAATTATCTACACACCAACCTAAAACCATAAGAGGAAACATCCATTAGTTCTGAAGAATGACGGAAAATTGAAGCAATTCATCAAAAGTTTTTACTGTGCGTAGAATTAGTGCCTATATGAAATTTAATTTCCTGTGATGAAGAGAAAACCAATGCAAAGGCTGAATCATATTCTATTTTGGATGAAAGCTCAAAAATGTGAACATGGCAGTGCTGTCGTCATTGAAATATGGTGGAAATGATGCACAATCCAAGTCGAAAGATCAGAAGATTAAACATCAATCCAAAAAACTAATCTGTACAGTGACAAAAGCTCACAATTGGAGCATAAAGTTTATGACTAAGCATTAAGGTACATTCCTACACAACAGATTAAGCTACTCCATTGAATAAAATGCCAAATCGGAGATGCTATGCTTAAAAAGAACTGGTAAAACTACGGATGACCTTTCTCCTGCTAAATATCCCAAATCCAATACCATCTTTGTCATGCAAGAAAGATTAAGCAGATCAAGATACCTGTGCGAACACGTTTCAATAAACCAATACAGCATAAAAGCTCTCTTGGGGCAAATTTATTAGTCCCATGATACAAATAAAATATCTTTGGGATCTTTTGCCTATCAATTTAATTTTAATCTTGTTCATGGGATTCTAGCCATATGGCATACTACACAGAACTCTTTCGAAAACGAAGACCTTTATATGCTAAGATTGAGACTTTCTCAAGCCAATGAGAACTCGTTAATATTCCAATTATCGTAATTTCATTATTGAAAAACGACGCAAAAATGTAAACTAACTACTGTATGGGAGACATATCACGAACAAATATATTTTTTCCAAATTCTATGGCATGTCATGAGCGACAAACCAATTGCAAATATTATAACTTAATTCAAACAAGTTGTGTCTCCACTAGAATGAGGTAGCTTTTTGGGAATCTATAGGAAGACATGTCTTGGTCTCGCTATACGAATTAGATTACATCAAAAATAGAAATAGTGAAGATAATATCTATAAAACCACTTCTAGGCACTATTGCTGTTGTAAAATAAACTTTGGCCTGTGTTTTCCTTTATAGCTCTAATAATTAATTCCCCAGTCTACAGGAATCAAATGTAAAGCCAAATGCAGCTCCATACAATGTCCAATAAAGGGTAGGAACATGAACTCCTTCACCTACGGATTCAGTTGATACTTCATTTTATACTTTTTCATGTGTTATAATATACAATACATAAGTTTTCGCTAATTAAACATGTATAAGCAAAAAAATAGAACTTTTTTAGATAAACACAATCTGATGGTGCAAACTAAAAAACTCATCAATTATCTGGCAGATATTTTCATATTTGAAGAAATGATACAGAAACTGGAAAATTATACGACTATAAACTCTTTAAAGAAATAAAGTGTGTGGTGAATAAATTACAAAGAATTTTGTAAGATGCCAATTCCAATTCTAAATGCAAAGGGAATAGTTACCAAGATACTCCTAAAATTTGACACAACACTTCAAGTTTCACCTCACACCGTTTCTCCAGACTTCAAACTAAAGAGAAGAAAGTGAAGGAGAACATCATTTGTCAATGGGCAATAGTTACAATTTAGGCATATTTTGGTAAATGAAAAAAAAAAAATACCTCAACTTTGAGCAGGAGCCTCAACATATGAAATAGAGTTCCCCTCCCCACTCAAGTGCGGGTCTCTCTTCTGGTCTGAAATGACCCAAGATGTGGGATTGACTGCAACATAAAATTAATCCTATCAAGCCTAACTAGAATCTGAATAAGTAGAATAAAATGCAGCTAAGAAATAAATAACGAAATATGTTATAAAAGCAAAGATTCATTTAGTTAGAAATCTTATTACTTCAGCATCAAATGTCAAACCTGGAATCACAGTGTCACTCATGTCATGCAAAGTAACAGAACGAGCATGACGCTTCCGTACATAATTTTCCTCCAAAGGTGAGGGGATTTGAAATGAGAACTGAGAAGCTGTTAAACCTGGGAGTTCTGGATGTTCGTTCAGGTAACTGAAAGATAAAACATTCCAAAAACTTTAAAATAAATAAAAGAAAATAAAAGATTCTAAAATCTAAAATCCAGATCTCTTGCAGTTATTTGTTCATTTAAAATTAGGGCACAAAGAGCCAAAGCAGTTGAGATGACAATCAAGAATTGTACCTCTGAACTTCCATCATTGATCGTAATCGCTTGCTAGATGGTGCTACATAATACCTGTTAAGAGACATGACACGACCCAATTGAAGTCAGAATGACGTTTCCATTGCTCAAAGCTTTTAAAGTAATTATAAATGGAGTAACAAACAATAAATGACATCACAGACATACACATCAGCAAATTTAGTGCCTCCTTTAGCTCTGATTCGTAAAATCCGTTGCCAACCAGGAGGACATTGAGGAATACTGGGCTTGTCTATTGCCCAACGCCAGCTTCCATCTCGTACAACATCTGGTTCATCATCACAGCTTAAGTCAGGACGCCACTCACGTGCTGTTTCACAAAAGAAAGGTTGTTCTGCTAGCCTTTCTCGTATCTCCTCATACTTCTCCTTTGTGGGAATGAACCTCCATTTAGAGCATTTTTCACACTGAACGGTATAAGCTGCTATAGAATCCCAAACCCTTTTGGATGTCTTCTTTGAAAAGGAAGTTTTGTTTCCGGTAGCATCTGATCTATTTTGTTTTCCTTCCATTTCTTTCAAGAACTGTGAATATCAATAGGAAACTTTCTCAACATTACATTGTGACAATGTTGCACTCTTTTAGAGGATCCATGCCCAATATTGACATAGAGCCAAACAAAAACATGAATTACAAGCCAAAAGAGATTAATCCATTAAATTTGCAATCCTATCTAAGAAACTCAAAGTAACCTAAGAAGCACAGACACGGACACGCGACACAACATGATGCGGACACGGCAACAAGTTATTTTTCTAAAAAGTAGGATACAAACATTGGGAACATGTCAATTTTAATTCTTCAAATTTTGAAATTTTTATTTAATATCTTTATTTTTATACCTTTTAATGTGAGACACGGCACATTCTATGTCGAATAGTTGTGGAAGAAATCTCCACAAAATATCCCTTGGACGTTAGAAATTTTAAAAAGTTATAAACAATAGGACATGGCATGTGGCTTTCAAACCCATGTCATGGAGTGTCCAAGGAATACTGGTTTCCGACGCAACTCAAGATATGTTGGACATGGACACGTTGGCCTAGTAGAAGCTGTAGAAGTGTCAGTGCTTCATTTTAAGCAAAAGAAAATAACTTGATTCAAATCTTATTATGAGCAAGTGGCAGAAAGAATCTGTATTAGAAATCAATAGAAAGAGCCCAACATTCTGAAAAAACCAAAAAGGGATATTGATTGCAGCTCATTGGAATTTAAGCCAAAACTTTTTAGTACTTTTTAACTACATATTCTCCAAAAATTCACTATTACCAAACTCATTTTCTACCAAAAAAAGAAAAGGGGCTCAAACATAGGCTAAGTTTAAAAAATACAAGATGTTATAAGTTTTATTCTGGAGCATGTTCTTCTCTTTTCTTTATTGAGTTCTGATAAAAACCGCCACCACCAAGTAATCTCAAAAATTAAAGTCGAGTCAAAATTAGTTCGTGTTCTCCGTTCATATTTATGTTGCATAGGCGCAAATATGGCATCTCAAATACAAACAAAAAAAAAAAAAAAACACAACAATTCTTGAAAAATATGAACACAAAACAGATGGGTACTGTCCATTAATAATAACTGATAAGCCTTAGCAACAATGAATATGTAAAATCTAGGATATGCATACTTAACTCTTCTTTGATGAAAGGAAGCAAATATCTAGTATAATCTCCAATCGTATAATGTATATATTCCCAAGTGATAATCAAGACCATAAGTCAACAAACGATAGCAAGGCTAATAAATCAAAACAACAAAAGACCACAACATATGCCCTTTTGTCATCTACTTTGCAATTTTACGATGCACATCATATATTACGTGAATGATCTCTAAGCTTTCTTGTACACTTTTGTTGTACTTATCGAAGGACTTAGACAAGTGTATTTATTATTTTTCCTTTTACTTGTTTGTTGGACATGTTATGTACGTGTCCATAGAGTGCCAACTGCCCAACAAGTAGTCTCATGTATGATTGCTAGACATGGAAGGACACATTCCTATAAGCTTTTCTGCTACATTGGTTCATAATATTTTAGAAAAAAGAACGACAACATAATGATAAGTTTCTAAAACATGACATCGAAATCCAAAACACTTATAGGTTCCAATTTATTTATCGTGAGAAACCTCCAAGAACGCTTTGTTACCATGACAGTTCAAAATAGTATCTTGCATGATTAGATAATACAAAGCCTTGTTCACTAAACAAAAAACACAAAGTATACACGCACATACAAAAGCAGCACAACTCAAGTTGCTCTATTACATGCAACTTTGTAGTATAAGTTAAGGATGCCTCAACAAACAAATACTACACAATCTTACCAGCAGCAAGACGCGATAAATTTTGAACTTCTATCGACATTGTGTAAAACTATTTGACCAGATGTGAGTAGCATGGAATAAATGAAATTTAAAACCGAGGATGGTTGTCATTTTTTTTTCATTTTGCTGCCCAAGCACATAAGAACGCGCATCAAATTTCAAACCTAGTGTATACCGCGTGAAAACAAAAGTACCGTGCCCAATCATAAAAATACTGTCAAGACCAACAAGACATAGAAATATATAGGTAAAAATACCATTACCGCCTTGTAGTCCTTCTTCACACAAAAAGCAAATCAAATAGATAGACTCAAATTTGAGCCTCTCGTGGAAGCACTGGGAAGACACAAATTACATGAATGTATAGGTGAAAAGAAAAGGCAAAATTCACAAGCAAATAACTCATATCGAAACCAGAAAATTTTGAGAGAGAAAGAGAGAGAGAGAGAAATCAGTTGTCTGAAAGATGAAATTATCTATTATTTTTTAATAATGAAAGAAGAACTTGCAAATCAAACTTAACCCATGTCTAAAATCGACGAGAAAAAATAAAATCCTTAACCGGGCACAAAATCTACGGGCATGCATGTTTATCCTCGACTGTTCTATGATATGATATATAGACACACGGGATCTTGATTCGCAGATCCGCATAACACATTCAATTAAATCAATTGTAGAAGACCCTATACAAGAGCTACGCAGACATTACACATACAATAATATACATGCATAAAAGAGTGAATGAGTGTGTGAGGGAATGCGAAATAGTCATCGGATATACCTCTAATTGACCGGAGAAAATCAACTGATTGCGAGTGACAGAGAAGGTAGCTTCTCCAGAGTTACAAGTGGAAGGTGACGTTTATATCAATATGCAGTAAAATATGGAAAAAGATTGGGAATTTTCGGTAAATTTTCAAAAAATTAAATTGATTTGCCATATACAAACAATTAATATGAATTCTATGCCAATAAAAGAATATGGGTTTTTTTTTTTCATATAAAGCCCCGTTTGATACACATTTTGGGAGTAAAAATGCATTTTTACTGTTAATGTGATGAGAAATATGTGGTTGAAAAAGAAGGAAAAGTTATTGATGTGATGGAAAATATTATTGTATTGAAAAATGTGTGATTTTGAATGAGCAAAAGAATGAGATTGAAAAAAAATAATGCGGCTCAAACATGGGCAAAATTTATGTATAGAGATGTTAATGTTGACGAGAATGACCTGAATCCAAAGAAACAATTTATTTATTTTTAACTATTTTCTTTCTTTAATATTTTAGCTTTTGTTTACTTTTAATTCTACTTTACAAAATGTTTGTAATATAGTTGTGCTATGCTTGACGATTCTAGGGTAGTTATACTCGCACTTAAGTTTTCATTAGTTTTTAGAGGTGGCAATGCATATAGCTTGAGCTTGAGCTTGAATTGCGTCAATGAAGAGGCTCGCTTTAGCCTTTTTGACCCATAGGTCTCATGGGTTTAACAAAATCATTCACTAGTCCGTTACCTTTTCATTTTATTGTAAATAAATTCAATATGAAATATGGTACAAGAAATTTGAAATCTCATTTCTTTGGATTTGGAATCGGGTACTTTCAACATATGCGTAGTGTACGTATACATATATTTTTTTAAGAAGTTAAAAAGCTAAAGAAAATTAGCGTAAACAATACTTACAAATTATGTAGTCGAATATTGAAAATCTCCAACTATCAATTTGTTAACTTTATTTTAAATTCAAATCTCTGCGTCTTTTCAGTCTTTAAACACGTTAAACTTTTTTGTTCGTCTTCCTTAAATCTTGATTTGTAATCAAACGAACGTGTCACTTGCACTAAGAGCCTGTCTGGACATACTTTAAATTCAATTTCCTACCGTTAATGGAAGTAAAAAAAACAACCGTTGGACTGGCGCTGTCAGAATAAATTGAGTGCACTTTTACCAATTTGTCATTGCCAACCTTCTTTGACTTTTCAAACCATATTACGTGAAAATTGCTGTGAGGAGGGCAAATGTGAAAATTGGCTGGCCAAAAGCTGAATTTCAGTCTGCAAAATTTCTGTGAGTTTTGTCCTTGGAAATGTTGTTAACGGTCGTTAAAATGCTTATAAGCATTGCCAGACAGCCTCTAAAGCAAACTCATATGCTATAGTAGATAAAAGAAATTGTAAATGACAAAATGGAGTGGGGTTAGGGTGGTTTGGTGATTTTGATTTTATATGTTTAAGGTGTGTTTGGCTGACGTGGGTGGAGTCCACGTGTCAATTTAATTTACCAATTAACGGTTATGTCATTTTTTCGTCATCCACGTAGATATAATCATAGACGAAAATTCATCAGATGATTGATGGAGTGCAACGGATCTAAGTTTAGCACCACTAAGAAGTTTTGTGAAGTTGGGTGAGTAAGTCGTGACGAAGTGTAAAGTTCAGTGGTCAATGAAACATTTAACTCACATTTTTTATTCTTTAAAGATCTTTCTTATATCAAAGGTGCTTAGAACTTCGAGACACTCTTTAAGCTCATGTTTGGATCACATTATTATTTTTATTCTCATTTTTCTACTCATTTTTAACCACACATTTTTCAATAAAATAATATTTTCCATCACATCAATAAATTTTCCTTATTTTTTCAACCACACATTCTCCATCAATCTACTATTCCAAAATACATTCTTTCAAAATAATGTGGCTGGAACACACCCTAAATATAAAATCTTCTATACTTTAAAAAATCAATTCTTAAAATTATGTTTCAAAAAATTCTTTAATTTAAAATTTTAAAATAGTTGGAGAGTCAAACTCACTCTTTATGATTAAATGCATTCAAAATATTTTAATTTTTAATAAAAAAAATACATAATAATTTGGAAGAAAGCAAGAGAAAACAAAAGATGAGAAAAAATAATAAATAATTTTTCAAAGTAGTAAAATTAAATGTTAAATATAAAGATTTTGTTAAAAATATTTACTCTCTAAGAGTGTGTTTGGTAGGGATTTTTGAGGTAAGAATTGATTTTAATATACATGCATAAAAGAGTGAATGGGTGTGTGAGGGAATGCGAAATTGTCATCGGATATACCTCTAATTGACCGGAGAAAATCAACTGATTGCGAGTGACAGAGAAGGTAGCTTCTCCAGAGTTACAAGTGGAAGGTGACGTTTATATCAATATACAGTAAAATATGGAAAAAGATTGGGAATTTCCGGTAAATTTTAAAAAAATTAAATTGATTTGCCATATACAAACAATTAATATGAATTCTATGCCAATAAAAGAATATGGTTTTTTTTTTTTCTCATATAAAATTTATGTACAGAGATATTAATGTTGACGAGAATGACCTGAATCAAAAGAAACAATTTATTTATTTTTAACTATTTTCTTTCTTTAATATTTTAGCTTTTGTTTACTTTTTATTTTACTTTACAAAATGTTTGTAATATAGTTGTGCTATGATTGACGATTCTAGGGTAGTTATATTCGCACTTAAGTTTTCATAAGTTTTTAGAGGTGGCAAATGACAGAGTTTGAGCTCGAGCTTGAATTGCGTCAATGAAGAGGCTCGCTTTATCCTTTTTGATTCATAGATCTCGTGGATTTAACATAGTTATTCACTAGCCCATTACCTTTTCATTTTATTGTAAATAAATTCAAAAAATCAATATGAAATATGGTACAGGAAATTTGAAACCTCATTTCTTTGGATTTGGAATCAGGTACTTTTAACATATGCGTAGTGTACGTATACATATATTTTTTGAAGAAGTTAAAAAACTAAAGAAAATTAGCGTCAACAATACTTACAAATTATGTAGTCGAATATTGAAAATCTCCAACTATTAATTTGTTAACTTTATTTTGAATTCAAATCTCTGCGCCTTTTCAGTCTTTAAACACGTTAAAACTTTTTTGCTCGTCTTCCTTAAATCTTGATTTGTAATCAAACGAACGTGTCACTTGCACTAAAGCAAACTCCTATGCTATTGTAGATACTGGACATGGTATTAGATTACGCGTTATAATAGATATTATTCGATATTGAGTTGTTTTACAAGAACTAAGGTAGTCATCATCTACTTCTTTGACTGTTCAAAGAGGTTAAGGCTTGTGTTTTCATGGTACATTTGGTGGGGACGTTGAATAACAACAAATATTACTTTTTAGAAGATAAAAGAAATTGTAAATGACAAAATGGAGTGCGGGTAGGGTGGTTTGGTGATTTTGATTTTATATGTTTAAGGTGTGTTTGGCTGACGTGGGTGGAGTCCACGTGTCAATTTAATTTACCAATTAATGGTCATGTCATTTTTCCGTCATCCACGTAGATATAACCATAGACGAAAATTCGTCAGATGATTAATGGAGTGCAACGGATCTAAGTTTAGCAGCCACTGAGAAGTTTTGTGAAGTTGGGTGAGTAAGTCGTGACGAAGTGTAAAGTTCAGTGGTCAATGAAACATTTAACTCACATTTTTTATTCTTTAAAGATCTTTCTCATATCAAAGGTGCTTAGAACTTCGAGAAACTCTTTAAGCCCCTGTTTGGGTTACATTATTTTTTTCATTCTTATTTTTCTACTTATTTTTAACCACACATTTTTCAATAAAATAATATTTTCTATCACATCAATAAATTTTCCTTCTTTTTCAACCGCACATTCTCCATCAATCTACTATTCCAAAATACATTCTTCAAAATAATGTGGCTGGAACACACAAAATCTTCTATATTTTAAATAATCAATTCTTAAAATTATGTTTCAAATGATTCTTTAAATTAAAATTTTAAAATAGTTGGAGAGTCAACCTCACTCTTTATAATTAAATGCATTCAAAATATTTTAATTTTTAATAAAAAAATAACATAATAATTTGAAAGAAAGCAAGAGAAAACAAAAGAAAAGAAAAAATAATAAATAATTTTTCAAAGCGGGAAAATTAAATGTTAAATATAACGATTTTGTTAAAAATATTTACTCTCTAAATTTATAAACTCTTTTAATTACTAAAATTGTTATTTAAAAATAGAGAGTCTCTTCTATTTTTAAAGAGCATCAAGATGCTCTTATAAGTTGGTTTGACCAACAATAAGTACAACCAAACATGGTCTATTTTAATGTCTCTTTGAGGCCACATAAATTGTGTTTTCACCCCCAGTGGGGATGAATAATATTACTCAATTATTATTTCCGGTGTTATTTAAATAAGTCATTTAATTTCACCTATCATTTAACCAATCATTTACATCAACATCCACATAGACTGGGGATGAATAGTATTTTTCTAATTTAATTTGGAATAAATTGCTCCCACCGTCCCACGGGCGCCACCACAAACCGTTTTCACGGTGTACTGTAGGGAGGTCCACCGCCCAATTCATCTGCCATTTCGATTTCAACCAGATGACGCTGGGGCTTGTCCCTCCATTCCCTTCTCTGAAGAACCCTAATTTCCTCTGTGTTTACTGCTTCAAACCCACCAATAATTTCAATCTTTCGTCAAGGACCCTCCAATTCAGCCCCACCCATTTCAAATCTTTCTTCAAGGGCCCCAATTTCCTGTCTTTCAACCACTCAGAAAGTAAAAATGCTGTCTCCCAGACCCTTCGTTCTGATAGAATCAAAGACTCCAACAAAGAGACCGTAAATGCATCTTTGGACCCGGAGGAAGGGGATGGCGGCGGAGGAGGCGGTGACGGAGATGATGGACAGGTGGAGTCATCACCGGAGTGGCTGAATTTCACTTCAGATGACGCCAAGACAGCTTTTGCAGCGTTGGCCATATCGCTTGCCTTTAGGTCTTTTGTAGCTGAGCCTAGATTTATTCCTTCACTGTCTATGTATCCCACATTTGATGTTGGAGATATGATCGTAGCTGAAAAGGTAACTATGAACTCTCTTTCTTATTTTGGTGATGAAGTTTGGGACTTAACTGCTAAATGCTAGGGGAAGTTTTGACGTATTACATATTCCATCTTGGAGTAGCAAAATATGATCTTGGAGATAATTCATATATTATTGGGTAATGGTAACTGATTCACTGTGGAGAGGGCTTATCCAGAATGTTTATTTTTATAGTTTAACAGATTAACATTTTCAAATTAGCACTAAATTCTGATCGTAGAANTTCTCTCCTAAGTTTTGATAAGTGGCATTTTTTACTCTTTTAGCGATAGTTAGTGTTATGTACTATGTATGTTCATGTATCCTTGTGCCTGCATATTGTTCAACCAAATTATAATAATATTGGCTGCTTCCTGCTGGAACCACGCCCAGGTCTCTCTCTCTCTCTCTCTCTCTCTCTCTCTCTCTCTCTCTCTCTCTCTCTCTCTCCTGGATATTATCAAATTTACTTTTAATTTTTCCATAGCTTGATTGTGCTTCTAGTATGCGTGTATTGCTAAAATCGTAAATTAGTTGGAAGTATGAGTGGACAAGCAGCTTGGAAGGAAGAGGTTAAAGGGTTTCTTTATTGAATAAAATTTGAAGTATATGCATCGAGGAAATGGGTGCTTCCATATTTGTTCATACACTAGGAGCTGAAGGATGTCATTCATGGAATAGTTCTAGCTAGTCTAAAATTTTCCAAAACGGAAGAAACGTGTAAGAAATTACGATCACAATAATACACAGTTTCAACCATTTCTGAGTGAAAAATGATGCACTCCCTCCAAGCATCATGAACTAGATCTAGTCTGGCTATTAATTATAAATATAAACTATCTCATCATTATATGATGATAGACTATGCATAACATCTCAGTTATTGAGTTATCTACTGCAATTAGTATGACACTAAAAGCTTGAACTCTTACACATGAAATTGTATGTTGATGTGCTCCCTTTGCTCAGAATTTACTATTTGAACTGCTATAACATCCATATTTGACTGGAAGATCTTTGGTAACTGATCGAATTGTTTTTTGGTGTAGCTGATGTTTATTTGGAATTTACAGGTCTCTTATTATTTCAGGAAGCCCTGTCCCAATGATATTGTGATCTTCAAAAGCCCGCCAGTCCTTCAGGAAGTTGGATACACAGACGACGATGTATTTATTAAACGTATTGTTGCCAAAGAAGGTGATATAGTGGAGGTGAGACTTTAAGACATTTTCCCTCCTGTTTGTGCTCTATTATTGATAAAAAAAATTGTCATTATGCATCCATTTGTTCGTCATGATCTGTATCATCCATAAACTTGTCCCTCTACAATTAATATACTATAGGAAAATGACTATCCTAAGGTTTGATGAGTTATGAGATATGTTGTTAATTTTGAATGATTTCTTAAATGGCTGCTACTGGATACGATAATTGGTATATATATTAAACTTGGAGTAATATTCGCCACTCTTGTAATTCCATTACCCTGGTCGATCAAGGAAGAAATGGGACAGCAGGATTAATAATCTGTATGACGCAATTATCTGGACATTGACTAGAATAACAGAAAGTAAACAAAAACAGTTCATTGGAAACTAACACAATCTCCATTTGCTTACATAGCCTGAAATTTTATACCCCGTCTAATTTAAGGATAGAACGTCAAAAAGATATACGTGCCTTTTTATCTTCTTGGAAACAGTTACGAATCATCCGTAACTGGGGTTTTCCTGTACCATCTTGCTGCAAGTTGAACCTATCAATTCTTATTGATGCCTAATCCCTTTCGGATATTCATTAACTCTCTTGGGTCATTTTTGATAAAACTATAAACATTGTTAATAGAACTTTAGTAATAAATTATCCACAAGGTTTTGTATTCGCTTTGAGGGAGTTTATCCTGCACATGGTCTGCTACCATCATATGAGATCCTCTCTCCAGCATCAGCACCATATTACGGCAGAAGCAATCGTCTTAAATTGATTTCTGTTCTTAAAAGCATGAATACAAAAATATTCTTAGATCTTCATCTACTGATTCTTGAACTAAGTTCTCAACTTTGATTTCTTTTCATAGTTTGTGATTTCTGTAGTCATTAGCTATCTGTAAGAATCTTTAGCAATTAGACATGTAATGCCCGTTGTTCTTGTGTTATTCTTTCTAGTGCAGGTTCATGATGGAAAACTGATTGTAAACGGGGTTGTAAGGAATGAAGATTACGTTCTTGAAGTACCCAAATATGAAATGAATCAAATTGTGAGTTCAGATTTAACGCTTTATTGAGCTCGTCCTTTTCCCTTGTGAGTGTTAAGATCAGGATAAGATGTCAATAAGACTTATAATCTATTAATGGCAATTAATGATTGAATCCTATGATCTCAAAATCTCTGAGTTGAAGCCTTGTATGGTACTCCGACCACAATACACTAAGATTTCAAAATGAAAATGTTCCCAAACAATTTATAATCTGTTTTTGCGTTTTGGTGCAGTGTGTACCAGAGAACTCTGTTTTTGTGATGGGCGATAATCGGAATAACAGCTATGACTCACATGTCTGGTAATATTCCCTGCAGTTAAAGTTTACTATCACCTGAAGAGATTTACACTTTCTTATGCATGATATTTGTCATATGATTAGGGGGGCCCTCCCTTCAAAGAATATTTTAGGGAGATCTGTATTTCGATATTGGCCTCCGGCCAGAGTTGGTAGTACAGTTCTTCCAGATGACTGCAATACTGAAAAACAGGAGAATAGTTTAGCTTCTCAATGATACTGCCACCATTGTCAATTCAGTTTCAAAATTGATAGTGCAGTCTTTCCGATCGCAGCAACATTGACTATACGAGAGTAGGTTTAGATTCTCGATGATACCTTCACCACTGCCGATCTAGTTGGAAAACTGAAAGTGCATGTCACTACAAGGATGTTTTTATAGGAGAAGTCGAGGCAAGAATGGTTTTTGTTGTATTTCCAGTGACTCAAGGTTTATTTGGCTCGAGAATAGAAAAAGGGTTACTTACATTTCTAACAATAGTGAAGGTCTCTAATTTATACTTATTTTGACATTATGTCCCGAAATTTAATTTGTTATTTATTTTGTTTATTTAAAAATACGAGAGGAAATTATGTCTTTTTACGCCCTCTACGAATTATTTGGACGAAAATCACCATCAAAGATAAAATGTGTTAATTAATAGAAGACTGATAATAAGAATACAACAAAAAATGCTTGAGACAGATATGATTGTAAAAATGTGCAAAAATATATTGTTATTAAAAAGAAGTGTGGTATGAATATAATTACCCTTACCAAAATGAATTTGAATTATGCTTTTTGTATATTTCTTGATTCTTGTTGACATCAAGAATGACATCCCCTATGTATAGGAAATTTGGTCGTTGATTGAAAAAAGTGTTGTTAAAAACAATGTATAAAAATTTGTCAATTTACATTTTTTCTTTATAACCGTAGATGTCCGAGTCAATTTACCCGCACCTCGACTAATCCCACGGAGCCCTGAAATTTACGGTCAGGTACTTACCTCAGTGGCCGTGAGGGAATTCAAACTGGTGACCAATGGGGAGCAAACTCAACCAATTGAGCAACCCCTCAAGGTTCTGTCAATTTACATGATGACGAACTTGATGTGATTGAACTTTCAAATAGCATAAGTTGAAGAAAAATGCTTAACTGAAAGACATCATAACTAATCTTCAACGTAATTATTACATAGAAGGAATTGATGAAATGGAAGTTCTAGCAATGCATCTAAGTTAAAATGCTAAAAGTTGTCGTTTTTTGAAGGAAAAACTTTTGTGATGCGATGAAATGGTAAGATGATATGTAATACATCAATTATCTAGAAAGATTTAGTATGGATGAAAATTAAACAAGTTTTATGAATATGAGAGATGACAAGTTCGAAATGGCAATGAGATTCCTTGATCCTCATTGGGACTCTGGAGGTTCCCTAATTAATTGAGGAATGGGGCCAAAATCCTTGCCCAGAATCAAGAACGGGGTGGGGACGGGCCTCATCGATTAATAAAATTATTTTTTTATTATTATATTTAGGCATAAAAATAGTATATTGTAGTTTTTTATCATTCTTTTTCATGTTTTAAAAATAATTTTATAACTATAACAATTTTAAACTATAATATATTATAGTTTAATTTAATATACAGGAATTGAGAGTTTCCTGTCCCGATTCGAACCCAATTCCGAATAAGTTGGAATGGGGGGACGAGGAACATGATTCCTGCCTTCAACCAGTCTCATTTCCATTCCTACGACAAGTTATGGATTGAGAATTGGAACCAGAAAAATTTTGTGTTCGATGACTCAATTGAAGTTGAAATTTAGTAAATTAATTGAGACAAATTAAAAGTTTAATAACTCAATTAAAATTTCACTAACAGTTGTACTGCATGTACATAGCGATTTACATAATAATTTACATATACACGATGTGGTGAAATGTGATTGAATCAAAATTTTTTCAACAAAATAATAATAATAATAATAAAAAACATCTTCGATAGTCTTTGGGATATTAAGCGCTTACTATCACGGGGACGAATTCTTAGGAAAAATACTTAGCCAAATTCTCGCCTGTGATGACAATGAGGTTTCACTCAGCCAGCCCACGAACTTGCACGATGAACACACGAAAAGTAAGGCAACAATGTAAAAGAACACACTGTTTTACGGGTAAACCCAACCCATTTATTATTATATTTATGCATAAAAATAGTATAATGTAGTTTTTTATCATTCTTTTTCATGTTTTAAAAATAATTTTATAACTATAACAATTTTAAACTATAATATATTATAGTTTAATTTAATAAACAGAAATTGAGAGTTTCCTATCCCGATTCGAACTCGATCCCGAATAAGTTGGAATGGAGAGACGAGGAACAGGATTCTTGCCTTCAACCCGTCACATTGCCATTCCAACGGCAAGTTATGGGTCGAGTGTTGGAACCTGAAAAAATTTGTGTTCAACGACTCAATTGAAGTTGAAATTTAGTAAATTAATTGAGACAAATTAAAAGTTCAATAACTCCATTAAAATTTCGCTAACGGTTGTACTACATGTAGATAACGATTTACATAATAATTTACATATACATGATGTAGTGAAATGTGATTGAATCAAAATTTCTTCAACAAAATAATTATAATAAAAAAAATCTCCGATAGTCTTTGGGATATTAAGCTCTTACTATCACATGAACGAATTTTTAGTAAAAATACTTAGTCAAATTCTTGCCTATGATGGTACTGAGGTTTCAGCCCACAAACTTGCACAATGAACACGCGAAAAATAAAGACAACGATGTAAAAGAACACACTGTTTTACGGGTGAACTCAACTCGTTTATTACTCCACAATAATACAAGAAAATGAAGGAATAATGAAGGAACACAACATACAATGTGCCTTATCAGTCTAGCCTTCCTAATTTATAGACCAAAATTCGTATACAGTTAACACCCTTAATTTTAAAAGGGATAAACCAACTCAATTGGCTTCGAACTGCCAAAAACTGATTCCCACAACCATTCCTAGCAACCACCCATACTTTCTACCTGTATGGATCACGAAAATTGCAAAACACGTGTCAAACATGTGCCCAATTTGGACACCCGAATTTGTGGACTAAAGTCCATTAATAGCAAGCTAGATCAGATCACGCCTTGCTAATCCGCAACACTTTGACGTCAGCCAAATTGAAGCCCATATTTTCCTTGCTCCGAAAATTCAAAGTGTGCACCATCAACACACATATCCACAAAATCCTGACATGAGTGCAAGGTGTGCACATGTCATTGTGCGTGTCAACCTTTAAGGGGCTGACACTTACCCTATACCATTAAATATTCGTTTAATAAAACTTTAGCAAAATTTTATCAACTTTTCAATAGATAACAATAAATTTTAACCACATATTTCACAAAACTCGTAAATTTTATCAAATTTTCAACTATAAATTTCATCAACTTTTTTCAATCTTAATAAAAAAAAACGTTTGACATGACTTTTGAGTAACCAAATGGAACTTTTAAGAGCTTTTGTAGCTTTGAACTCATTTGGCTAATTTTTGTTATTCTTCCAGCTAAAAGAGCTTTTAGATGAAACTAATCCAATGTGATTCTTTAAAAGCACATTCAAAAAAAAAAATCTTTAAAAAATTAGCTTTCAAACAAAAATTAAAATAACTTCCTTGAAAAACTCTTCTACAGGAAGCAAAAATTATGCCAAATGAACCCCCTAAACTTTGTCAAACAACCCCTAAGTTCAGACTCGAGGGAAATTAGAATTTCTAATGGAATAATTCATTGCGTGTTTAGCAAAGATTAATTTTGATTTAAATTGGTTAAGTATATTTTTCATCCATACATTTTTTAGGATCCATAATTTATAATCCATAAATCATCCACATTTTGTAATATTCACAATTTATAAATACTTTAAATCAATTCAACGTCATAAATAGAAAACCATTTTTTGAGTCTGGAAACCATTTACAAAATGCATATTTGTCCTATACATAATTAGGTAAAGTACTGTAGAACCTTATTGACAATTGACATTATATTCATAATTTAATACGAAGGTTTAGATAAAAAAATCAATCATTGATATTCTGATACAAATATACTATGCCCCCTATTTGTTGGAGATTAAAATCAAATTAAACTACTATTTCTTCTCATACGTGAAAAAAACGAAGCAAACTATATTTCCACTACTTCCCTACAATGTACACCGCGACAATGGTTACATCATGTGATTATAATCTAACGCTTGAAAATTCAAATTTCTTAGATACCGAAATAAGCAAACCATGTGCACGTACCATTGACTTGTCTGCAATACATCCCATGACTTCAATCTCAGCTTCTGTTAGGTCTACTCCTATCCACTTGAATAGTTCTTGGGTCCAAGGTAGACAGTATCTGGGGCATTGACATGCCACCCGATACAACAATTTCTGCGAGCAAAAAACAAAGTCAAAAGTCAGATGATATTCGACAGTAACTAACATATATATTATCAATTAACCACGATGCAAAACATTTAAGTTTGTCCAGTCTCTTCAAGCACCATTGCTTTATATTAGACTTGGACCTAATGTCACTACACTTGCATCTCAACATAACCCCCCTCACCCAACAACAGTGTGCATAAAATAAAAGAAAACCCAAAATAAAGAAAATTAGTGCAAAATAGTAAAAAGAGATGCTCAGTGAAGAATCCTGATAAAATCAGTGTCTAGCGTGTGAAGGCGGAATGGTAGCAAAGACTTGTTTGTCTAAAGAAATAAAGGGTGTCTTTTAACAAATAGCACGTAGTTATGGTAAGTCAAGAGAAAGAACTCTTACCAATTCCTTCCCGGACAGACAAGTTCGGTCTTATGACATCCTTGGCATTGACCAAAAAAATGTCACCAATATAAAGATGATTTGTTGGGACATAAACACAGCACAGCTCTTCCTCTGCCGTATAATTCTGAAATGAGAGAAAGATATAAAGAATTCGGAACTCATAATCAAGACTACAATGCAGTAAGTATGAAGTCTGCCTCTTCTATTTCAGGAGAACCTGGCAGCCAATCAGCTGCCGCCTGCCTGTTTGTGCTAATATATGCTAATATCAGCTGCCTGTTTGATGAGTTATCAAGTTGTTATTTAAATGCTGTTTTAAAAATAGAGCATACAAGCTTGTTACTCCAAGAGAAATGGAAAAGGCATATATTT